GGCAGGAAACTACACAGGGCAAGGAAGCATTTGAAGAACCAAAGAAAAGAGTCGGCACCCATTCCTGCCGCCTCCCTGTAAGACATCCCCGACCTCCACCATATATGCACCCACTTAGCATATTCTTTTTTCCCTTTTTTTCAATAAGTGTTGGCTGAACACATATGATATGCCAGGTGCTATTCAAGGACTAGGAATAAGGAAGCGAGTAAAACAGACTAAAATACTAAAATACTTTCATTTTAAAAAGCAAGTCCATCGAAAGGATAAATAGTAAATGATAATACAGGTGTTAGACAAAGAAAGCAACGATTGTGAAGGTGGTGTGAGGACTGGGGAGGTCTGAAAACTCAAACACATCAAAAACGGGGAGGAGCCAGCTGAAACCTCGCTGTCCCAGGAAGCGGGTAGACCACCGTTTGAGCTGATAAATGAAGTGATGGCAGTTCTAGGCTTCGGATTTAGGTGTATGGGGACGAGCATAATAGGAAACTAAAATCAGAACGAATTACCACTGTTTGCTTGAGGGGAGCCCGAGGTCAATCAGGGGTCATTGCTTTTCATTATAAGCCTTGTGCTACTAGCCTTTAGAAAAAATTAATAGACTTTATATTCTAAGACAGTTTTAGATGGATGGAAAAATTAAGCCTCCCCACAGTTTCCCTTATTATTAGCAAGGAAAGTGAGAAACTGTCGTAGCCAAAAGGAGCCGAAGGAGATGACTAAATACCACATGGCACCCTGGGACAGAAAAAGGACATTAGGTAAAAACTAAGGACTCTGAGTAAAGTATGGGTTTGAGTTAGTAATATTAATAATTAATTAGTTAATAAATAGTTAATAATTATTAATTAAAATAATGTCAAAGTTGGTTCATTAACTGTAACAAAGGTACCACACTAATGGAAAATACTACTAATAAGGGGAACTGGGTGGGGAAGTCTGGGATCTCTCTGTGCTAGCTTTGCAATTTTATTGGAAGATGTTAATGAGTTTGGGGAGGAAGACCCCAGAGGTAAAGGGTCATTCTCATCATGTCAGATCACGGGAGCACGCTGTCAACATGATGTATCACTGTGGGTGTTGACCTTGAGCTGAGGTCATGCTTGTAGGGTGTCTCCACTGTGAAGTTACTCTTTCTCCCCTTTTCCACACTGAGCTCTTTGGAAGGAAGTCACAAGGCGCAGTCCACACTGAAGGGGCAAGTTGTGTTGTCCCTCCTTTTGTGTGGGATATCTTCATAACTTACTTCTTCATGGGGGATTTGTCTCCTTCCTCCACTTAGTAATTTTTTCAATCATTCATTGATATCAGTATGGATATTGATTGCATTTTATATCTTGACTTTTTTATTTTAGTAAAATATATGTAGTATAAAATTTTTAAAAATTAATTTTATCTAATTTATAAGATTATTTATTTATTTGTCAGAGAGAGAGCACGAACGGGGGGCCAGGCAGGCAGAGGGGGAAGCAGGCTCCCTGCTGAGCAAGAGGCCGATGTGGGACTCCATCCCAGGACCCTGGGATCATGACCTGAGCCGAAGGCAGATGCTTAACTGACTGAGCCACCCAGGTGTCCCTTAATTAATTTTAAATGTACAGTTCAAAAGAGAAGCTGTTACAGAGATAAAAGACAGTCAAAAATCCCGTGTGTTGTTTGGGCTAGCCGGCTAAGCGTCTGAGTGATTTTCGTACATTCCATATGAGTGGCTTTTATAAACTCCATCTCGTCACTGGCCAAATGAAGAATGAATTCTTTTTCTTCTGTACTGCCTTGACATAATGGAGGGGGAAAATCATGTTTTCAAAAAGATGTAAGTACTTTGCTTGTGTACAAAATATGACATTGTAATCAGTGTGGAATTTTTGTCACTGGAGGCACAGAACATGTCATCATGCTGGCTAGTCAGCATATAATTATATACTATATAATATATTAGCATTTAATTTTGGCAGCCAGTGAGCTAATTCATATGAAAGTACTGTGTCGATAGCAAAATGTTAATAGTAATTTTTTTCTCAGCTGGAGTTAGCCTTTTTATTTAATAAACTTTTAGAACTGACAAAAATAGGGGCGCCTGGGTGGCTCAGTCAGTTAAGCGTCTGCCTTCGGCTCAGGTCATGATCCCGGGGTCCTGGGATTGAGCCACGTTGGGCTCCCTGCTCAGCGGAGAGCCTGCTTCTCTCTCTCCCTCTGCCTGCCGCTCTGCCTACTTGTACTCTCTATCTCTCTGTCAAATAAATAAAAAAAATCTTAAAAAAAAAAAAAGAACTGACAAAAATAAATGTACGGTTCAATGACATTAAGTCCATTGCCCTGTTGTGCAGCCATCCCCACCATCCGTCTCCAGAACTTTTTCATCTTCCCAAACTGAAACTCTGTCACCATTAAATAGGAATCCCCCCATTCCCTCCTCCCCCTAGCCCCTGGCAGCTACAACCTACTTCCTGGGGTACTTGACGTGTTACTTGTTAACCATCTGAATACATTGATGAAAATCTTGTTGGCATCTGATTTCCCCCGAGAACAGACTGAGGAGGATGGGGTGCGCAGGAGGTGTGCTGGGGAGCCTTCTCCGGGAGCACACCTGCGAGGCGTGGAGAGCGCAGGGTCTCCCGACAGAGGCCTCAGGAGCGCCCCCCCCCCCCCAAGAGCTCTGGCGCTGGGCACCAGTCATTCCAGGCCACCGGGGTCCTGGGGCAGGAAGGGGGCCTTAGGGGAGGAGGCAGCACCACGAGGCTGACAGCAATTCCTAGAGAGGGACCCAGCTGTGCGCCCTCAGCGGCCAGCCCAGCCCTCTGGGCAGCTGGGGAACAAGTGTCCCTCGTGTCCTAGGGTCGGACACCGCCTCTGTCTGCAGTGTTCTGCAGTTTTGCGACCGTGCATCCAGCAGTTGCTTTCCTTTCATTTCTCCTGTTCAGGACTTCTGCTTGTCGATGTTGAGAATTCATGTTTTCCATCAATCCTGGACGATTCTTAGCCATCATCTCTCTGAATGCTTCCTCCCCCCAGGTCTCTTGTCTCTCTCCCTGGCACTCCTATGTTGTGTGTTGGGCATTTCATTCTCTCCTCTGACCCTCGCCCTCTTTCCCGTAGCTTCCATCTCCTGGCCTCTGAGCCAGCGCCTGGACGCCTCATCAGCTCTGTTTGTCCTTCTCTAATCTGCGTCTCTGCGTCCTGTTTGACTCTCATCCCTCCATTTTTTTCATTGCAAATATTTTATTTTTAATGTTTTGGGGTTCTACTTGGTTCTTTTTCAAATGTACTTTTTTGAAAAAATAGTTTCTTTTCCTCTTATATTTCAGATTACTTCTTTTATAACTTGGTTTGCAACATGCCATCACAGTTTGGGTCTGATGATTCTCTCTGCAGTTTTAGGACTCTAGTCCTGTCGTCTATTGCGTCTTCTGATAGCCGGTTCCCCGTGTGTTTTGGAACTGGGGTTAGAGGTGCATCCTTGGCTGACTTGTATCCGTGGTATCTGCACAGCCTAGGTTGGGAGTGGGTCTCTCTTGGAAGATACTGTGTTGCTTCTGCCTGAAGAACATTACCAGCCCAGGACTGCTTTTTATATTAATTGATTGGCCTGGGGAGAGTTGACTAAACTTTAACCCCTAACTCTAGTGTTGCTGGAAAGGTGGTTAGAATTCTCGTGGAAAGATGTTTTCTGTTTAGGGTCCTGACACTGATAGCAATTCTCTTGGTTACCTTTGTCACTCAGGGGACTTTTCTACCAGCCATCATCATTTCATTGAGGTGGGAGCTCTTCAAGGGTCCCAGAGAGGGTTGGGGATTCCATTGTCACCTCCTGACCCCCACAGGCTGTCCCCGCGGGGCTGTGAGGACCCAAGCTTTGGTTAGATTGACAGCTCTGGCCATCATCTGTCCCTGCAGAATTTCTGAGTACTGTGTTCTTTTCCAGTTGCCCCTTCATTTATTATTATTATTATTATTATTATTATTATTATTATTATTATTGAGAGAGAGAGCAGGGGTGGGGGTGCAGAGGGAGAGGGAGAGAGAGAATCTTAAGCAGGCTCCATGCCTAGCATGAAGCCTAATGTGGGGCTCGATCTCACGACCCTGAGCTCATGACCTGAGCTGAAATCAAGAGTCAGATGCTTGACCGACTGAGCCATCCAGATGTCCCTATTTTTAGATCAACTTTTTATTTTAGAGTAACTTGAGACTTACAGAAAAGTGACAAGGAGTCCCAGTTTCCCCTACAGTTAACATATGACATTGGTGTGGTACATTTGTCATGATGAATGAACCAATGTTGACATATTATTATTGACTAAAACCTGTACTTTATTCAGATCTATTTAGTTTTTATCTAATGTCCTTTTTCTGTCTCAGGACCCCATCCAGGAGATTATGACATTTAGTTATCATGTCTCCTGAAGCTCCTCTAGACGATGACAGTCACTCAGATTTTCCTTGTTTTTTGGTGACCTTGAGAGTTTTGTCGGGTCCTGGTCAGGTGTTTCATAAGGCGTCTCTCAGTTGGGATTTGTCTGACGTTTTGCCCGTGGTTTAACTGGCGTTAGAGGTTTGGGGAGGAAGACCACCGAGGGAGTGCCTTTATCATCACATCGTATCACAGGTGCATGCGTCAAAACGTAACATATCGCTCTCGGTGCCTGACCTTGAGCACCTGGCTGAGGTCATGCTCGTTAGGTGTCTTCACTGTGAAGTTACTCTTTCTCCCCCTTCCCACACTGAACTCTTTGGAAGGAAGTCACTGGGCACAGTCCACACTGAAGAGGTGGGAGTTTTACTTCACTTTTTTGATGCTCCTTCCCTTTTGACCCTTAGGAATTTCCCTTCCTTCCTTCCTTCCTCCCTCCCCCCCTTCTTTTTTTTCTTCCTGCAAGATCTGCAGTGCATTGAAAGGAATGTTTATTATACTTTAACCAATTCTAGGAAATACTAGGCTACTCATAACTGTGTGACTTGAGCAGCCTACTTAACCTTTCTGTGCCTCAGTTTTCTCATCTGAAAAATGGAAGACTGATATTCCCACCACAGAGGGTAACTGTGAACAAACATATAAAATGTTTAGAATGGTGTCCAGATGTAGTAAGTGCTATGTAAGTGTCGGCTATTATTAGAATGATGACTGCCTATCGCTCACTGTCATTTTGCTAAAAATGGAATTCCCATGTACTCTTTTATTTTTAAGTAGGCTCTACACCCAACATGGGCTTGAACTCATGACCCTGAGATCAAGAGTCACACACTCCACTGACTGAGCCAGCCAGGCACCTCTCCCCACCATGTACTCTTTTTTTAAAAGTTTTTATTTACTTATTTGACAGAGAGAGACACAGCGAGAGAGGGAACACAAGCAGGGGGAGTGGGAGAGGGAGAAGCAGGCTTCCCACCGAGCAGGGAGCCCGATGCAGGGCCTGATCCCAGGACCCTGGGATCATGACTTGAGCCGAAGGCAGATGCTTAACGACTGAGCCACCCAGGCACCCCTGTACTCGTTTTTTGTTTTGAGAGAGAGAGAGAGAGCACAAGCAGGTGAGTGGGTGGGGGAGGGGCAGAAAGAGAGGGAGAGAGAATCTTAAGCAGCCTTCACACTCAGCATGGAGGCTAATGTGGGGCTTGATCTCACGACCCTGAGGTCATGACCTGAGCTGAAATCAAGAGTTGGATGCTTAACCAACTGAGCCACCAGGTGCCCCCGTACTCTTCTGATTAAAAAATATTTCTGAAAGAATGATGGCATTCTGGGACTGTGTGGCTGGGCCCAGAGGCTTGGGGCAATGGCAAGATAGCCCCAGCTCATGCAGACAGCCATATCCAGGGCAGAATGGCCAACACCTGTCCAGGAAGTATCAGGAAGCCACGTGAAAGAGAGAGGGATGGACAGGCAGAGCAGATGGTCGGAGAAGAAGCTTGTTAGCCAGGTGGTGCAGCCAGGATGGGTGCTCAAGGCAGGATTCCACACTGGGAAAGGGCTGGTGGGAGCCAGTGTGTCTCCTGGACACAGGGTTAGACTTCCTTTCCATGTCAGAGATCAAGGCAGATGGAATGTTCTAGAAGCCTGAGACCAAACCAACTGGCTCCCACACAGGGCAGGAAGTTGCCTTGTATCCCTCACCAGAAGCTTGGAGACAATTTTTGAGGCCTGCCTTGAGCTGGAAGAAAGCTCTTGGTATCATTCCAGGCTGAACTCTCGCTGGTTGCAGGACCAACCACGGCTGTGGGTGGGTGGCTGGAGGCTCACTTGAGTGGGGCCAGGTGGGGCTGGGCCCAGGCTGACCCACGGCAACAACGTCTGGCAGCCGGGGTGCTGGCATCCATCGTGGCAGACACTAGTGGTCAGTTGCCCAACATCCATCCCCATCCTCTGCCTATGATATAGAAGCAGATAATTGGCTGGGGTAGCTTTGAGGAGGGCTTTTCTTTCCTGATAAAGAGAGATGGACTCAGCTTCAACCCGTCCTTGTTCTTCGCTCTGCTTGTCTTGAATGTGGTTCTAATGGCTGGAATGACAGCATCCATCTTGTGACCATAAGGAAAGAGATTCACAGAGATTTCAGCCCAGGCATGCTCCAGCCATTGAACAACAGCATTTGGATTTCTCCTTATGTAAGATAAATAAACCCTTATTTAAGTCACTGAAGTATATGCTGTGTGGTGTGTGAGACTGAACAGGATCCTAGTTATACCCCAGTCTATCATCAATTTAGCCACCCCTAATGATCTTGCTAAAACACAGGCATCATTGTGCCCCTCTTCTTGGGAGATATCATCCTGCTCTATCAGACTAACAAGAATGAAAAAGATTGAGAATACTCCAGGCTTGTAGAAGGTGTAGGAAAACAGTTCCTAGCATTCACTGCTGCTGGTACTATGCATTGGTACAACACTTAGAGCGAATAATTGGCAATAGCTTTCCAGATTAAAGATGCTCACACTGTCTCGCAAGCAATTGCGTGGAGTCAAGAGAGCATGGCTCCCGCACCCCATCACCCTGGCCCAGGACACACCTCATACGGGCTGGCAACGCCGGGCCTGGCAGAGCTGGGGGGCCCATCCCAGCTGAGGCCTGCATTGTTGTGACCGGCGGCCGTGGGTTTCCACCCAGCTGGACGGGCCTGCAGCTGGGCCCTGCCTGACGGTAATAAAGAACATGGCGACCTCAGTCGCCCGCCCCAGCCCAGCGGCAGGAAACATTCCAAGAGCACCTGTTTCCTGAGGACCCTGTCAGGGGCTCCCGGGCACCATCTGGGCGCTGCCCCACATGTTGTTTGCATTAGGAGTTTAGAAAAACAATTCAGCTTTGACTAATCGCTCTTTAATTTTCTCAGGCACATCCAAAGTCTCACCCCTGCCCTACTCCCTCTTTCCTCGCCAGCTCTTCTCAGGAGCTCCCCAGGCTGCCGTGCACACATGCGTGGTGCGCGCACAATATACTCGCTCACACATCTACGCACACCCACATGTCCGCACGTCCATACATCCACCCATACACACACCACACACTCACACTCACGCCACACACTTCTACCCACAACCCACTCAAACGCACACACACTCACACGTGCACTCACCTACACACACTGTCACTCAGGCACCTTTACACCCCCCCCCCTCCGCCTTACACAGTTCTGAAGAGTAACCTTCTCTCTCTGCAAACATGGGGGCTTTACTCCTCTGCGGTTGGCAGCGGAAGGGAAGGCTTGAGGCCTCCGTGGCCCTAAGAACTTGGGGGTACGAAGTGTTGTTCATGAGCACGGGCCTGGAGCCAGGACACCACGGTTGAATCCTAATTCTGCAACTTCCCACCTCTGGGCTTCTTGTCCACCCGTCTGTGCTTCAGTCTCCTCCTCATCAAAGCGTGAAGCTGCGGCCATTGCTGGTAGCTCGGTCCGGGCGAAGAGCTTAGAACGGTGCCCGGCACTGAGTAAGTGCCGTGTATGTTTGTTCTAAAAAATGCCACAAATCAAAGTAACGCTGAAACTCAGGGCTGAAATTAACATGCTTTTCCCCGGGATTTTTCTGATTGCATAATTCTGAATCAGTTCCCCAAAGCTGAGTGTTTCTCCTCCCCTGGATGCCCCTGCTTTACTGCATCTACACGGGAGCCTGTAGCCTTCTGTAAAGCAGAGGAAGCTGAAGCACAGAGAGGTTAAGTTGCTTTCCTGATGTCACACAGCCTGGAGCAGTTCTGCAGACTTTCCACTGTGAACCATCCAGGGAATGCTCACAGGGCAGGTTGCCATGGGGGAGAGGGGGGCAGGGCAGGAAGAGGGGGAGGCTTGGTGAGGATGGGGAAGCAGGACGGGTGGACTCGGTCGTAGACAGCGGGCATGCCGCAGGAAACTGGGGTGGCCTCAGCGAAGCCCCCCAGCTGGAGTTAATACAGCCTGTCCGGCTGGAACAGGCCCAGTTTCCAGGCGGCTCCAGGGCGGGGGGTCCAGGGGGGCTGTGGCGCCGGTGGGGTGGAGGGTGCCTGGAGAAGGGCTGGCAGGACCGTGGGGCAGTGCCCAGCCCCATAACCGGCTGAGGGCTTCCTGAGGCCTCTTTCTGGCCTGCCACCCAGGCCACGGCCCAGGCCTGATGGCCCTAGCAGGGCTGCCATCTAGAACAAAGCGTCCTGCAGGAATTCCGGCCGGGGTAATGCGATGCATTGTGGGGCCAGGCCCTGGGACCGGCCGCCCCACCCCCCACCCATCCCCAGCCCACAGGCTGCTCACGGTCTGGGGTCTTGGAAGTCACCATCAGCACTTAAGATGGCAAGGACCCCCTTGCTCGGCCCGCCCCCGAATTCCACAGCTGCTTTGATACTCACCTCACCTCTCCCCTTCCTGTCCTCTAAAGTGTTTGCCTGGGACCAGCGAGCGTGGCGGGAGGGGGCGCTTCCTGGCGGGGCTGGACTGCTGGGCTGAGCCGAGACTCCCAGACTGTTACAGCAGCGAAGATTTCCTTCCTGAAAAACACACCAGCCCCTGCTTTCTGTCCCTCTGTTTCTCTCCAGAGAGCCTGGGCAACCTCTACTCCTTGGCTCCCCGCTGGGCCCAGCCCGCCTGGACCACCAGCCAGAAGGGACAAAAGGAATAGTCAGTGGTTGCCTGTGAGCAGGCTGCTGTCCTCGGTGGGGTCAGGCCGCAGGACCCTGCCTCTCACAGGCAGACAGGGCTACTGCCAGCTAATTAGAAATAGGCAGCCCCTTCCTCTGGGTGCCCCCACAGCCAGGCAGGTGCCCTGATTGCACATAGCCTGCGAAGGTGGACTCAGAGCCCAGATCAAGTTTCTTAAGCTCCTATTCCGGTTTTCTCATCTGTATATGGGCATCTCTTTCGCTCACCCCCTTATCCAATCTGCCCACAACCCCTGCCCACTCTGCCTTCACAGTGCATGAAATCTGGCCTCTTTGCCTGACCCCTTGCTGCCACCCAGTCCCAGCCCTCCCTGGGGTCCCCACCTCCCGCCTACGGGTCCCTTGTGTTCCAACCACAACCTCTTCTCCCCACAGCAGGTGGCAGGATCCCACTTTAATCAGTCTCCCCTTTGCTCAAAACTCTCCCAAGGCTCCTGTGTCATCCAGAGGGAAAGCCTCCCGTCCTTTCTCCTCTCCTCCTTTCTCTTCTTTCCTACCATTCACCCTCACTACCCCGCCTCCACAGGGGCTTCTTCCTGCTCCTCATACACACAGGCACAGGCCTGCCCCAGGGCCCTTGCAATGGTTGCTGCCTCTTCTTGGGAGGTGCTCCCCTCAGGTACCACCCAGGTTTGCTTCCTCACATCCTTTGAGGTTCTCCTCAAATGTCACCTTCTTTGTTTAAACCCTCCCCGCTTCCCTTCCTGCTTCAGTGTCTCCCAGGCATTTCCAGCCTTCATGAACTTTGCTTATGTAGCTCCTTCTTGCTAGAATGTCAGCATGGAAGGTTGAAGGTGGGGAGGCTTGCTGCTTTGTTCACGGCCGTGTCCCTGACACCTGGGACGGAGGCAAGGTCATTAGAAGGTGCTTGATAAGCAACTCTTGCTGAGGGAATGAAGAGCACCTGCCTTAAGGGGTTGTGAGCACTGCCTGAGGTAATATATGTAAAGTACTCGGCTGGTTCAGAGGCGGAGCCAGTGCTCAGTGGGTAAGGATGATGATGATGATGATTAGTAGTAGTAGTAGTAGTAGTAGTGTAGTTTTGGTGGCTCTTGTTGGAAGTCCTTGGTGGACCAGCATCCATTCCCTCTTCTTTCGATAATTCACCCCATTCACCCTAGGAATGAACCCTCCCCTCCCCCACTCTGGGCCCATGTGATTGCCTAGGGCTGCCGCCTGCTGGCTCTGGGGTGGGCCCCCCCAGCCATGGCTAGCCAGTGCCCTGCATTCCCCTGCCCACCGCAATAGGCTCAGAGATGGTCCTGATCCAAGTCAACCGGAGACATTCCTGGTTCTGATGGCCTGTAGGCTGAGCAGATAGATGTAGGGGCTGGAACTACGGCAGCCATCTCTCCACCAGAAGGAGAGTGAAGCCACCAGAGAAGGTGAGCTAAGCTGAAAGAACTGGGAACAGTGATGGTGTTTAGAAATTTGGGCTTAATCCACATCTGGGTTTTTCAGCTACTTATGTCAATAATGCTCGTTTTAGTTAGGCCAGTTGAGGTTAGGTCATCACCTGCCACCAGAAAAGTCCTGCTTCATCTGGCATCTGACCTGGAATCCTCTGGAAGATTTCTCCCTTCACCCCCATCCGTCCCTTTTCTTCCTTCCATCTGAGAGAGATGTTTAGCCCTCTCTGTCTGGTGTTTGGTAGCCAGTAGTTCTTTATTTGATTTTGGTCCCCTCCTCTACTGCACATCTTTCTTACTATTTGTCTGGTTCCTGGTGGCCCTTGAGGGAGCCAGAACTTAGGACATCCGAGTTTTAACACATTACTCACTCATTTGCCAAATTAATGCTTGAACGTGGAGGGTGGGACATTCTGGTTAATGAAAGGTTCTGGTTGACTGAGAGTTTTCATGTCCTCTCCAGCCTTCCTCTGGGACCCCGTCTCCTCCTTTTTCTCTTGCTTATCTATCATAGCCGTCCTGCCTCTGTGTGCTCCCTGGACATGTCATGTCCCTTCCTGAGCTGAGAACTTTGCACTGCCTATTCCCTTTGCTTGGACGGTCCTTCCTTCAGATCCTCCCATGGCTGCCTCCTCATCCTTCAGTTATCAACCCAGTTGTCACCTCCTCTGAGAGGCCTCTCTTCACCAACCTGTCCCTTTTTATTCCAGTGCTACCCTCTTTTTGGCAGCACTTGTCACTTTTGGAAATAATTTTATCCACTTGTTGATCTGTGTCCCTTGCCGGAAGATAAGCCACATGAGGTCGGGGGTCTTTAGCTGTCTTACCTGGCGTCCCCAAGGCCCATGCTCTCCCCGTGGCACCATACTGCTTTATTTGCTTCCTAAGAGTCATGGAATCTCATTGGTCCAAGGAGAGACCTTCATGCCCACAGTTACTAAGTCTGGCTTATTCTTCACCCCTCCCCTTCCCTTCTGCTCCATCCCACCGTCCCTGCCTTAGTTCAGGCTCTTGTCACACCGTGTAGTAGCTCCTATCTAGGCCCCCTGCCTCTCCACTTCCCTTCTCTGTCTGCAGAAGGCTGCCCCACTCGTGGCAGGCACTTCATCTGGACCATTCTTTTGTTCCCTGCCTAGTGTCTCAGTTATAGATACAGAAGTCACTTTAGGTATTTTAAGCAGGAGAGGAGATTTAATACAGGGACTTGGGTGCTACTTTGGAGAAGCTGGTGGAGCCTCCAGGATGATCTCAGAAAAACACGGGGCAGAACCCGGCCCCAGCTGTGCTACCATCGTGGAATAGGCGACCATAACTACCACTGGAACAGAGCCTTTCAGCTGTGCTCCAGGAATCAGAAGCCGCTTCAGCTGCTACAGCTGCTGGTCGAGCCCCATGAAGCTGGAGCCTGGAGCATCACTGCAGAGACCCAACATCTCCGCGACCACACTTACCAGCAGAAAACCCCAAAGGCCTGTTCGCCTTCCCAATCACACATGAGTGCCCCTGATTGGTGGAATCTAATTTGACCCTCGCTGTAAGGGAGTCTGGGAAATGCAGTTCTTAGGTGCCAACATCCGTGTTTACAGTGTGGGCCACAGAGCAGGTGGGAACAGACCGTGGGGACGCACCGCGTGGTGTCTGCCGCAACGACCCCTGACCCCAGGGCCTTTGGGCCCGGCTCAGGGAGGCGTCCCCACTGCTGTGTCGGCCCGGGCCCCTCTCATATGCCCTAGTGACAGCCTGAGCTTTTTCTCAGAGTGCACACCGCAGTTCCTACTGATGAGTGTGCGCGGTCACCGACGAACCTGTCCTTGTGTGGGACTGTGTGCCCATGACGCAGGGGCCCCTTGGGCCCGGGGAAGGGCCTCCAAGAGGACCACGTTGCCGAGGGAACCCGCAGCCCTCCTCCCCACTCCCGAAGCATTTCCTGCTTGGACAGCCTTTCCAACTGCTCCCCCAGGCTATTTTGAACTGCTTCCTGCCACTGGGGCATCAGCCCTCTTTCCTGCAGCTGAGAGGGAGGACCTCTCCTGGACGAGAGGTCAGCTTAAACTCCAAGGAGAAGGTGTAAGGAGGGGACACCTGCCAGGCTGCCCACTGAGGTGGCCTGGACCTCGAGGCCTGAACAAGGACCCTGACCTGTGTCCTATCACACCGTACCCCCCCCCCGCCCCGACCCATGCCCCTGCCACCCTGGTGGCTCTGATGGAGGCTCTCGGCCTGAAGTAGAGAAGTGTCTGCTTCCCTGTGGGGAGTCGCCGATGATGAGGAGAGGGGAGAAGCGGTGCAAGGGCTGAGGTTGTTCCCGAGACTGCAGCCGGCAGCCTGCCCCAGACTACTTTTGCTCTTCTCCTTCCTCTTACCGGTCACCTTCTGTGCTTTCTCTGCCAGCCGGCACGCTCGGGCTGCAGGCAACAGCTGACTTACTTGGATATTCCTGTCTGGGGGAGCCCTTGCTTCAAGGGGCTCAGACATCATGCCTCTGTTTTCTTCTCCATGGGGGCGCCCCTCAGGAACGTGTTTCCCACAGTGTAACGATCGGCCCCAGCCCCTCCAGGGCTCTTGTCCTCCCGGGTTCAAGTCTTTGTCTGAGCATTGCCTGCCAAAGTCCTGATCTTTGCCCTGGTTGGAGCAGCTTGGCTAGGTTTCTACCCTAAACCAGTTGCTGTGGGGTGGGGGTGGGGAGCACAGGGTCTGGGAGTGGTGGGACCCCTGAAGGCAGACCGGGGCTTGGGAGGTGCTCAGTAGATGTCGCATGAACAACTGGATGAAGAATGGAACACGGGGGCCACTCAGCCTCAGATGCTAAGAGGAGATGGATTCCAGAGGCTTATATCTGGTGTTCCTTGTGCTTGGGGCTGGCGTGGGGGGGCCAGGCCCGGGGACAAGAGGCCAAAGGGTCTGCTGGGGAGTTGTTTCCTCTCGTGGGCAGATAGGCCCGTGCTGGGGAAACTGGGGGGCTCTTTCTGCACCCTGCATGTGGTCCTGTAAGGACCATCCCTGTGTTTGCTTCCCCTCAGAGGTAAACGAAATTCTTGCTTGGAGGACACTGTGGAAGAAGTTTGTTCCTATGTGACCTCGAGTATTGTAGGTACATGGGGTAGGCTGCCGGTATCTTCTTTCCTCTTTCCATGGTCACAGAGCTCTCGGTGAGGCGCGTGACCACCTTCTGAAGTCACATCCCCACATCCCTTTAGCTGGGTGTGCTCACGGGATAGGCTGTGAACTATCTTCTGCCCTCCCTCCATCCTGCTGCCTGGAAGGCCGCTGTGGAGATGGTCCATCTGGGACCACGCAGGGACAGTGGAACGATAAGGCAGAGGGAGCCTGGGCCTCTGACACCATGGAGCTGCCACATCAGCCCAGAAAGGCTCTGCCCAGACTAGTAATGACAGAGTAACAAACTTCTATATTGTTAATGCCATTCTTACTTTGGGTTTCTGTCCTATAACCTAACTAATATATCAAGGAGGTACCTCCTGGGCTGGATGTCACGAGGACCAAGAAATATGAGAGAGGGACCCCCCATGG